AGCCTTGGGCTAGGCTTGCCCCGTGCCTGGTTTTTAGGCCTAAACAAGCAGCTTTTGCTGCTGGGCTCACCTAGACCACACGGCTCAGAGGCCTGCAGCCATCATTGTGGCCCAATGGCTTGCAGCCAAGTTGCAGGGCTTGTCCACGTTTAGATACCAGCCCACATTTGGCTGGGCCGCATTATTTTTTCAACCCAATGCTAATTTTTGGCTTCCCCACTTTATAAATCATGCCCAAATATATATTTTTTGGGTAATTTGGTTTACGCTAATTAATTCTAATTTAATTATCACTTGGTTTATCACCAATTGAAGCTAATATGACCCGTCTATCATTATTTTGCTTCCATAATTGACCATATTTGGTCCCGATCTATTGATTAATTAAAAGTGACTTGTATTCCATTAATCTGATAATTAATCCAAAATTATTGACTTGAAGATAACTTTTGGACATTAGTGATTCAATAATTTATTTTTATACTTTGAACCGTTGACATCATTTCGTAGTCCTGAAACTCTCACACTTGAGTTCCTGAAACAACTAAAATCCATTACACTTCAATCAGTATATTGCATTCTATGTTATTGTAGGAACCTCTCCTTTATGAATTAATCGTTTATAAAACTAAATTGACCTGTAGTTTCATATTTAGTGCCTTTGAAACCCGAAGTTTTCATTCAAAACTGACCACATGAAACCTGCACCTTTCATGTTTAAATTAAACCAATACATGTCTATAAAACCTGAATGTTCTACGATGTATGTGTATGGATTACCATATGACTAACTATGTTTTGTTGTACCATCCGTTTTAGGGACATGTCAAACTTGAACAAGCTCGATTTCACCGCTCTGGAAGTATCTGGAAGAAAATACATGAAGTGGGTTCAAGACGTAAAGCTCCATCTTATTGCAAAGAGTATTAGAGCCACCATCGAGGCAGCTACCGACGCTAGCCCTATCGACTAAGCTCAGAAAGCTACTACAATGATCTTCATTCGAAGACACATCCATGATGCATTCTAGATCGAGTACCTCGTTGAGGAGGACCTACGCACATTCTGGCTTGCTCTGGCCGACCGTTTCGATCACCAGAAAGACATTTACTTGCCTGAGTAAGACACGATTGACGACATCTATGCTTCAAGACTTTAGGTCCGTGAATGAATACAACTCTGAAGTTTGTAGAATTTGATCATTGTTTAAGTTCTATAAAGTGGACTTAAGAGATGCAAATTTCTTGGAGAATACCTATTCGACATTCCATGCCATCAATATTGTCCTGCAACAACAATATAAGGCACACAAGTTCACCAAATATTCCGATTTGATCTCTGTTTTACTTCTAGCTAAAAAATCATCAAGCTCAACCCACTAGCTCGAATGTTACGCCTGAAGTGCATGCGACCAATTCTAACAACCACAAATGACGAAAGAATCGTCGTGGCCATGGTAATGGGCTGCAAGCCCACCCACGGGCCCAAGGTCAACAGAGCCAAGGCCCACCCAAGAGAGAATTTGACCCACACGCGCAAACCCCTTGCCCTTAAGATCCCAAACTTCAAGAATAAGGGAAAAGCTATCGTTCAATCGGCTTCTACTGAAATGAATATGTGTTACCGCTGTGGATTAAAGGATCATTGGTCACGCGTATGTAGAACTACCCCTCGAGGGCATTACTAAGTATCATTCCCGTCGTGAGTCTAACTTTACCTATATGGAGCATCTCGAAGATGTTACTACATCCATGGAGATATCAGATTTTCAGGATGCATAAGCTTCTATGGACGAATAAGTTTTATTCTTCTAAACATGTTTTTATGGTGTTTTTACCCCTAGTGGCCGAACCCACTAGGAATGGCTGGACCTAGACCTGGCATTTTCAACCCGACCAATTAACCCAACCCGATTCAACCCGTTAAAATTAGTATTTGGGTGAGTGCTAAACGGATCAGATGGTTAACGAGTCAACCCGTTAATCACCTATTAAATAACGGGTCATTTTGGTTGAACCCGCGAAACTTGTTAACCACCCGTTAACACCCGTTAGTGGCACCCTAATTGCCATCGTTATTTCTGCAAGCATATCGTTTGCAAAACCTTGGTCAAGTGTCTGATCATCAAGACCTTGTTTTAGCTTGTCGAAAACTTGGAGCTGAGATTGTGAGGCCTCAATTTCCAATTTCTGCATTTCATTTTGTAACTTATTCACCTGATTAGATATCCCCAATAAGACGTGGGTGTTTGCAATAGACAGAGTAGCCAAAGACCTTCTGATATCCCTGGTAACGTCTTGTACCTCCTTGACAATGTGTCGGCACTTGACAAGCAAGTAGAAACACGCTCGGTTTTTATACTTGTCAACTAGTTTGTTTGCCCTTTTAACATCTGTTTCGAGGGACTCCAAAGCAAGCCTGGCAACTTGAGAATCATTCAATTCTTGATGTTGTAGTTCAATGCCCGGGTAAGGAAAAATCCCACCAACATAGACAATGGTTTGATCACTGGAGAGAGATTGGTTAGCGGTGATGGAGTCGATTGCAAGGGAGACTTGGGTTTTGAGGTAACAGAAGAAAACAACTGAAAGCACCAATCTTTTTTTGGTTTGGATGAAAAGTTAAAAAAAATAATAACAAAAAAATTGTTAATGGGTGAAACGGGTGACTTATTAGATTAACGAGTTGGGTTCAGATGACCCGTTAAATTAACGGATCGGGTCAAACCCGACCCATTTACAGGTCTAGCTGAACCCCCTTTAATTTTTAGGTTTATGGTTTAATTTTTGGACAATTTTTCTAAGTATTTGGAATAATTTGTTTGGCTTTTTGGTTTGTTTTGAATTATGGATAATTATTTTATGGATATTATTTCTCGAATTGATTAATTGAATGAATGGAATTATATTTATGCATGTGACCAATTCAATCAACTTATTTCTAAATATGTCTAGTAGAAAGTTAGTTGTTTGGCTGATAGTGCGATTACGCACACCATAGTACGTGAGCGACACTATTTTACTAACTTCGTACCTAAGAAAGCACATTTGACAACCCTCTCAGGCTCATCCAATCTGATTGAAGGATATAGAAAGACCCGTATCATGTAGTATAATGGTATCGTGTTAACCATTAAAAAGGCCATCTATTCTCCATGTTTCGGAAGAACGTTGCTAAATTTTAGAGACATTCAAGATAATCAATATCATATTAAAACCACTGAAGAGAATGGTTCTGAATTTCTTTGTATCATTTCTTACGAGTATGGCCAGAAGCATATTCACGAAAAGTTAGAACGTCTCCTGAGTGGGTTGTACATCACAACCTTTTGCGGCATAGAAGCCCACCATGTGGCCGGCCATGTGCTTGAGTTCCAGAGCACTTTGCTGCTTTGGCATAACCGTATGTGACATCCCAGAAGTGACATGATGCATCGTATCCTCAAATCATCACATAGACATCATTTACCTTCCTATATTGGATTCCCGCCATGCAAAACTTGTTCTTTGAGGAAGTTGATTACTCAATCCTCAATTACAAAGATTATTCATAACCTTTCTAAGTTTCGTCAGAGGATTCAAGGGGATATTTGTGGACATATCCAACCAACATGCAGACCATTTAGATACTTTATGGTGTTGGTTGATGCATCGATACGTTGGTCACATGTCTGCTTATTGTCTACATGCAACGCTACATTTGCAAAACTCCTAGCACAAATTATTAAGCTTAGGGCTCACCACCCTGCTAATCCGATGAAGTCGATTAGACTGGATAACGCTGGAAAGTTTACGTTACAAACTTTTGACAACTATTGCATGTTAGTTAGGATTGAAGTCGAACATCATGTACCCCATGTTCACACCCAGAACGGCTTGACAAAAGTTTTCATAAAGCGCATTCAATTGATAGCTCGGACTTTGGTTATGTGAACCAAAATGCCGATATCTGCCTGGGGCTATGCAATATTGCACATAGCTATGTTGGTCTGCCTAAGGCCCACCGTTACCCAACCTTATTTACTATTACAGTTGGTTATTGGATACGAGCTTGACGCCTCGTATTTACGTATGTTTGGATGTGTAGTTTATGTGTCAATAACGCCGCCACTACATACCAAAATGGGTCCTTAAAGAAATATGGGAATCTATGTTAGTTATGATTCGCCATCAATTATTCGCTATTTAGAGCCCTTGACAATAGATCTCTTTACCACAAGTTCTGTGGATTGTCACTTTGAAGAGATAGTCTTCATGTCGTTAGAGGGAGATAAGCATGTTAACATTCCTAGAGAATGCCACGAATTGTCGTGGTATGCTCCCACACTGCCCAATGTAAAACTGAAGTGCAATGAATTATAGATCTTCAGAGTATTGCTCAAAGCATACCAGATGCTTTTACTGATCTAGCTAAGCCCATCCCATGTCTTGGTATTTTCTTTCCTAAACCCTAAACCTTTCACCCCCATTTCGTTTCCCTCACTACTCCTCCCTTGAAACCCAAACATAACACTGCTTGCCTGAGCTCAAGCTTGAGCATCAATGTCTGGTAAGATCAATGCTTCAAATTTCTTCGTATTCATTCTGCATTCTTCTTCATTGTTATTCTCTTACTTGTTATTGTCTTTTCTTTTGCTGGATCTTCGTTTTTCTTTTCTTTTATTCATCATTGTTTCTAAAAAAAATTGGCATTTGGTTTTTGCAGCATTTAATTTCTAATGATGTTTACTTGTACTGAATTTGTTGTTATGTTGTTATATATTTATTTTTTCAATTCTGTAGACGATGATGATCAAAGCTGCACCTCAATGGTTGGTTTTGGTCAAGATAAAAAGATGAAGAATTGTTGTATAAGTGAGACTTTACTTTTGTGTTTTTACTAAATGATTCTTCTTTTCATTTGCTATTAATTAATACTCTGTTTTATTGTGTTACATTAGATTCCGCTGTGTACACCAAATTTAGAATTGATGTTTACGCGACAATGTCTGGTGCCAAAAATGTCATGGAGAAATTATTTTGTGAATTAGCCACTTATCTTGAAAGTCAAAATGATCATGTTTCTGTAAGAGACCCTTGCTATAAATACTTCCGGCAATCTAATAAGATATGGGAATGCCAAGAAGGGTCAAATTGGATAAGAGCTAGAAGATGAGAAATATGAAACCAATAGGTGGGAGCAGAGATACGGTCACAGTGCCGCATTTATTTGTGGTTATGAAAATAAGTTAGGTTGTTTTAAATGTTCGTGTGACTTCTTTCTAATAATCATTTCAACGGCTCATGATGTTTTAGGTTCCAAAAATCCACATTGATATCGTGTCCCTTTAGATATCTCCAGGAGTATACTAATGATCAAATTCTTAAAGGTGTGATAGAAGAAGAAGCTTTGAAAGCACCAATCAAAGATCATCCACCTTATTTTGTGCTCAGATCATCACGTAAGGTGGTGGATGAGTTCATGTCCCAGAAATCTACTCTTTTTGGAAGGTACTTTTCTTTTGCGTTAATTAACCCTTTGATTTATATGTTAAGTTATCAAAATTTGTGTGTTAATAAGATAATAATGTTTTATGTATGAAATTCATATTATTTACCTTTTACAGCTTTTTATTATTAATTTTGCAGCATCTGTTTTGGAGTTTCGTTTTGCTTAAGTTGTGTAGCTTGCTGTTGTTATTCTTTTCGGTTGATGAATGAATATCATTTTTTTTTAAAACCAAAATCCGTGATGGTTGAAGATTTTTTGTGTTTGTTTCTTTCAAATGAATGAAGTAACTGTTAAAAATGGAAGGACTCAATGCCTTGACTTTGTAAAGCGGCAATTATTTTTTTAATTTGTTGTTGGATTTGTAAAGATTGTAATAGATGGGTTGAAGTTCTCTAAATATATCTAAAAGATGGAAAATGTATTGAATTTTTGTTCTGTCGTGTATTGTTTAGACATTTAAGCTTCACTAGTGAGAGCAAAATAACTCTGAAGTAGCTATACATGCGTACTGTTGAAGTTGTTATATATGGTTAGATAAGATTATATGTATTCTGTGTGTTTTTTCAAAAATCAACTGTAGAAGCGAAATAAGGGAGGGTTTATTTCTTTGTATTTGGCAATGTGGACAATTGTTCTTATAGAATGTTATTAATTTTACGATTGATGTGTAATTTTGTAAATGCACATTAATTTGTGGTTAGATTTGGAAGGATTGTAGATGGTGTTCTGAAGTCCAGTAAAGGGAAGGGATGTAGGAGGTAAAGTGTATATTTTCTTTCTAAAGAAAGATGGAACAATAAACGTTAAAGGGTAAATTTTACCACCTCAGGTTTAAGGTCGATTTCAATTCCTTACAACATATTTTAAATATTTCATTTTCATACCTTAAGTACTATTTTATTTTAATATAATACCTCTGTTACTTTTTCCATCCATTGGTCCATTAAAAGCTGACGTGGCTACCAAATTTGTGTCATGTGGCAAAAAAAATAAAATTTTATGCATTTCAAATATTATAATAATTTATATATATTAAAAAGAAAAAAACCCATAAACCATCCCCGCAACCTTTTTTTTAATTAAAAAATTATTGTTTTTGACACGTGTCAGCTCTTAACGAATCAATTGATGGAAAATGTAACAGATGTATTATATTGAAAAATAGTACTTTAGGTATAAAAGTGAAATGTTTTAAAGATATAAGGAATTGAAATCGATCCCAAACTTGTGATGGTAACGTGTAATTTACCCAAAGTAAAAAAAACAGGTTTATTATCTTTGGCACTTTTGTTTGCAGACATCGAATTAGTTTTAGGGGTGGACTTTTGCATCGTGAAGATATTTTCGATGGCATATCTATGGAACTAGCTAAGGCTGTGGTTGGAGCAATCATTATTAATGTACACACAAAGGGTGAACTCCACGGTAAGTATTTTAGTAAACCTTTTTATCTTTTTTAATGTTCTTGTATTATTTTACCAACTTATATAATTTTGTTGCGACCGTGAGTTAGGGGAATCTGTATGGGTGGTCATACCCTTGTCTTCGATTGCGACGTCACCAAAGTGTATACCTCTTTTTGCGGTCTGTCTGCTCTTATTGTTTTTGTTCCCATTCTCGCATGTTGAGGGATAGGCCATGAGTCTATACAGTCCTTTTTGGGTTCTCCAAATGTGGTGCTTTTTCATAGGTTGGATCTATTCGGGGTTTTGGAATGCATATGGTCACCTTTGAAGTTGGAGTTTCTGATGCACATATCTGAATTATTCATGACAAGATCTTAAAGAAGGCAAAGGGTTGGGGCAAGCTAGGTTTGCCTGAAGTGATGATTGGCAATATGGCTATGCAAGGTTGAAGTCCTAGACTGAATCCCAAGGATATCGGGTCGATTTTAGAACTTTGTTTGTTAGAGAGATTGAGAGAGTGGGAAAAAATGGGCTGATTAGTCTTTTTGTTCGGACATCAAGAATATCCTTAAAATATTCTAAAATATTCCTGATGTCCGAACAAAAAGACTAACTAGCCCATTTTTTTTCAACTCTCTCAATCTCTCTCTAAGATAAAGTTCAAAAATCAACCTGATATCCTTGGGATTCAATCTAGGACTGCAAACGTGCACAACCATATTGCCAATTATCACTTCAGGCAAACCCAGCTTGCCCCAACCCTTTGACTTCTTTAAGGTCTTGTTATGAATAATTCAGATATGTGCATTAGAAACTCCAACTTCAATGGTGACCAAATGCATTCCAAAACCCCGAATTGATCACAACCTATGAAAAAGCAACACATTTGGAGAACTAAGAGAACCCAAAAAAGACTCTACAAACTCGTGGCCTATCCCTCCACATGCGACAATGGGAACAAAAACAAGAAGAGCAGACAGACCGCCAAGAGAGGTATACAACTCCAAATACACTCTAGTGATGTTGCAATCGAAGACAAGGGTACGACCACCCCTACCTATTCCCCTAATTGACGGTTGCAACAAAATTATATAAGTTGGTAAAATAATCCAAGAACATTAAAAAAAAATTAAAAGATAAAGAGGTTTACTAAAAAACTTACCGTGGACTTCACCTCCGTGTGTACATCAATAACAGCAGCTCTGACCACAACCTTGGCTAGTTCCACAGATACGTCGTCGAAAATATTATCACGCTGCAAAAACCCACCCCTAAAACTAATTCTATGACTGTAAACAAAAGTGTCAAAGATAATAAACCTTTCTTTTTAACTTTTACTGTTGTTTCTTTCTTTAGAAAGAAAGAACCACAACTTACATATAATTTTATTGTATAAAAACATTATAAAACAACTTCAATAGTACGCATGTACATCAATTTCAAGAAAAGTTTGACTATTCTCCTCTCACCGGTGAAGCCTAAATGTCTAAAGGGCTTTAGCATACAAACCATAAGCAGTGCAAAAAACAAATTCAATACACTTTCCCTCCTACATCCCTTTACTGGACTTTCAGAACACCATCTACAATCCTTCCAAATCTAACCACAAATTAACGTGCATATACAAAATTACACATCAATCGTTAAATCAAATAACATTCTATAAGAACAGCTCTCCACCTTGCCAAATACAAAGAAATAAACCCTTATTTTCGTTTTACAATTAATCTTTTGAAAGAAAGAAAAAACACACAAAAACAAAAACATAAACATAAACTTCAAAATATATACAAAATACATATAACCTTATCTAACCATATAAAACCATTATAAAACAACTTCAATAGTACGCATGTCCAGCTACTTCAAAAATATTTTGACTATTTTGCTCTCACCAGTGAAGCCTAAAGAACACTCGACAGAACATAAATTCAATACATTTTCCATCTTTTAGATACCTTTACAGAACTTCAGCCCATCTAATATAATCTTTCCAAATCCATCAACAAACTAAAAAGCATATGCAAAATTAAGCTTCAATCCTACTATCAAATTATCTTCTAAAAAAACAACTCTCTTTACCAAAGTCAAGGCATTGAGTACTTTCATCTTTAAAAGTTACTTCATTCATTTGAAAGAAACAACAACAACAACAACAAAGCCTTTTCCCACTAAGTGGGGTCGGCTATAATTCATTTGAAAGAAACAAACACAAAAAATCTTCAACCATCACAGATTTTGGTTCGGAAAAAACGATATTCAAGCATACCAACCAAAAAGACAAAAGAGAATAACAATAGCAAGCTACACAACTTAAGGAAAATGAAACTCCAAAACATAGGCTGCAAAATTAACAATCAAAAAGCTATAAAAGGTAAATAATATGAAATTCATACATAAAGCTTTATGATCTTATTAACACAAAACAACACAAATTTTGATAACTTAACATATAAATCAAAGGGTTAATTAACGCAAAAAAAGCAAAAGAAAAATACCTTCTAAAAAGAATAGATTTTTGGGACATGAACTTATCCACCACCTTACGTGATGATCCGAGCACAAAATAAGGTGGATGATCTTTGATTGGTGCTTTCAAAGCTTTTTCTTCTGTCACACCTTTAAGAACTTGATCATTAATATACTCCCGCGAGATATCTAAGGGGGCACGATAGCAATATCGAGAGACAGATTTTTTGGAACCTGAAACAGCATGAGCTGTTGAAACGATTATCAGAAAGAAGGCAAACGAAAATCAAAAGACAAACCTTTAAAACAACTTAACTTATCTTAACTTATTTTCATAACCACAAATAAATGCGGCACTGTGACCGTATCTCTACTCCCACCTATTGGTTAGGTATTTTCATATCTTATAGGCTTTAGATTTCTTATCTTCTAGGTCTGATCCAATTTGACCTTTCTTAACATTCCCATATCTTATTAGATTGTCGGAAGCTGCTATAGCAGGATCCTTTACAGAAACAGGATCATTTTGACTTTCACAATAAGTGGCTAATTCACGAGATAATTTCTACATGACATTTTTGGCACTAGACATTGTCATGTAAACATCAATTCTAAATTTAGTGAATTTGGTGTATATAGCGGAATCTAACATAACAAAATGAAACAGATTACTAATTAATAGCAAATGAAAAGAAGAATCATTCAGTAAAAAAACAAAAACACAACAACAAAAAAAGTAAAGTCTCACTGATACAGTAAGTATTCATCTTTTTATCTTCACCAAAACCAACTGTTGATATCCTAGAGTCCGACACAAGGTAATACTTATTTTTGTATATATAAGCAACAACAGTGGTGCCACTTTGATCATCATCGTCCGAAAAATGACTTGATAATTGATATACATGTTATCCCCATGTGGGTTAGGCATCATCAATCCTGCATGAAACAAACTAAAAGACCTTTTGGTCTGTTTTAATAGAGCACATTTCTAGTAATGTCTGCTCAGGTTATTAAGTATGGGTCATGAATCTGACTACATATATACCATTACACTCTTAAAAGCAAGTTTGAATCGTTAATGAAACATATAAGGTTAATGGAGAAGCTAGCTGCAGCAAGTTGATGAAAGCACATATTTATGATTGAGTTACTGAATATCAGCAAATTACTAGTTACTAAATATCCATTTTCGGAAACAACACAAGGATAACAATATCTCCCCAAAACATCACAAGCAACAATTGATGCAACCAGAAACTGAAGACCAAGAGAACAACATATCTACTGCCTCTAATGGGCTTTTCTTCTAATTCTCTTTAAAAAGTAAATTCATTCTCAGAAGTACACAAGGATAGATGGTCTAGATGCCTATCAACTCCCAGAAACAGAAACACAGGACAATTTTATACCAATTTCCTCAAAGTATATACGTCCTAAATATTATTGTCAATGCAATGGTTAATAAGGTGTTATATTTGTGTGACAAAACAGCATTCCTGAATCTAAACATACATATACTCATATGAGCAAATTTGAATCGTTTATTAAAAAATATAAATTAACAGGGAAGCTAGCTATATTCAAGATTGACCTTGTCGAAAAATGACTAGATTCTTGATATATATGTTATCCCTATGTGGGGTAGGCACCATCAATCATGCACGAAACAAATTAAAAGACACTTTGGCCTTATTTTTTTTTTGTTTAGAGATTATATAGAGCACATATCTAGGAATGTCTGCGCAAGTTAATAAGTATGGGTCATGTCCGAAGGGAATCTAATTAGCAGCAAATATCCAAAGATTCAATCTTAACAGGTACCAAAGCAAATTAAGAATTTTCAAAAGTTTATAAGGTGTTAAGTTAGTGTGTCAGAACCGCATTCGTCCATCCTGAATCTGTCTATCCATATACCAGTCTTAACGGGTACCAAAGCAAATTAAGAATCTGCAATCAGAAACTGAAGACCAAGAGAACAGCTATATCTACTGCTTGTAATAGGCTTTTGTTCTAATTCCCTTTGGAAAGGTACAAAGTTACTAGTTACTTCATATCGTTCCCAATTGCCTCTTCCTTCTGGTTGCATCAATCGACAAATTACTAGTTTTTTTTTTTTTTTTTGGACAAACTACAAATTACTAGTTACTTCAATAAATTACACAGAATTTTTAAGCAACTAAATTCATTCCCAGAAGAACAGCACAAGGATAGTCTAGACACCTATCAATTCCCAGAAACAGAAATACAACAATTATGAGCAAATTTTTTTTGAGAATTTTACTCGATTTTATAACAATCTCCTCATAATATATACGTCTTAAATACTATTTTCAAATCAATTAAAAATACTCTGGCGATATCACATAGAATTTCATTCAATTACATAAACCAAAAGGTGAATAAACTCAATATAAAATAAGGAAAAGTTTCGACATCAGAAATTCTGGTACCAAAATGAAAAAATAAAAGAAATTCGTCAAAACACAAAAAGCATACGTACCAGCAGTTTCATCTTCTGCCTCAAAAAGCGATGATTGTTTAGTTGAATGCGGTGATTGGGATCTGTGTCTGTGTCAAATCGAGAAAGAGAATGTAAGAATTTTAGGGTTTGTTGTAGTGAACTTGTGGCGGTGGGAAACTGGGAATTGGGAGGTAGCGTGCCTAAACATTTATTCTTCGACCCCCAGTTTCTGGCACACAAGAAAAAAAAACAAAAAGCAAAATCATACATACATACCAGGTTCAGGTTTAGGTTTCTCCTCCTTGGAATCTTCTGCCTCTCCAAGCCGTGGTTGTTTGGTAGGTCGCGGATCCTCATCGTCCCCGTCCGGACGGGTATTGGGCACCGGCGCCATTGGATCTCTGTCTGTGAAATCGAGAAGAGATGCAGGAACCGAAATGGGAAATAATTGGGAGGCAGCGTTTTTTTTTTCTTTCTATTTCTTGCTCATCGACTTCCCACAACATCAACATTGTGAGGAAGCAGAAACTATGGATAACATAGAAATTTTGATTTTGCTGTGTGATTTCTTTAGGATAGATATGAATTATATAGAGGGAAAAAAAAGATTAGATTGTAGATAATTTCGTGTGGCATGCCCTCATTCGTTAAAAATCTGCTCGAAATCTATCCTCAAGGATTCTAAACAGATTGTGACACGTAGCATGATGAGATTGGTTAAAAATCTTATCAGAAATCTATCATCAACAATTTTAAAAAGCTAACGACATGTGGCGTAATGGTATTGGATAAAAATATTATCGAAATCTATTATAAAAAGTTATCGTTTCTGATAATGACACATGACGAAACGAGACCGATTAAAAATATTATCTGAAATTACAAATAAAATTATTTTTTATTATTTTATAATAAAAAATACAAATATTTTATTACATATTATTATGACTATTCAGTTTAGATGTAGATATATAAAATGTAATTACTGTTCATTAAAGAGAATTACTATTCATTGGAAGGGATTGAATAGGCAACTGTTCTGGGAGAGCATTCTACACTGGAAGTGCTCTTAAACACGCGAGATATTCGAAATTTTCTAGGGCATTCGCCAATTAAATGAACGGTTAGATTATGTGGATTAAAAGATCCAACGGCCAAAAATAAAGGATTTGTGACTTGTTCACCCGGTGTTGGCTTAGCCTCAAGGTTGTGTGCTAGATGTGCAAGGAGAAAAATTGGAATTCAAAATCCTTAGGCCATCTAAGGAATTTTTCCTATCTTTCTCCTCGCGTCTCTCCCTTTCTTCTTTCCCTCGTCTACTCTACCATCAGGTCCACCAAGGCTAACATGGACGTCGAGACCTTCTACAGCAGCATCATCACTGTCATCTTCATTGGGGAAGGCGAGACTGTTTGGGTTAAAACTTGAACTTTTGGCTAAAAAGGGGGTTAGCCCAAAAGGAGGTCCAAAATGAAGGAAGCCGAAGCCTAGAAGAAGGAAGAAGACATTTTCCCGACTAAGTGCAGATCCTTTAAGCCACTTGCTCACCTACCTAGAGGCCAAGTGGTATAGACTAGCCAGCTAATCAGCCCAAAAGTACTTTATAATGGCAGTACAAGTAAAAAGCTGATGAGTCACTACCCTTCAGCTGTATTCGGGTAAGATTAATGCTGCAGGCAGCCATGCCAAATCATCTATAAAAAGAGAAAGAGAAATCAGAGATAAGGACACTCAATCAAACAAACAACTACATAAACTCTGCTCAAGCCAGATTTGCATACGAAGCTGTAGTCAGCATCAAGCCTTCATCCCTTTCGGAATCAACCTTCACCAAAAAGCCTTTGTAAAAGCTCTACTACCCTATCTAAAACTTGTTCTAGTATCGATTCCCTCGTCCCCCAATCTCTCATTCTAGCACTCAAATCCTTTGTAAATCACAAAGGGAGGAAGTTGCAAGACAATTAGCCTTGCCCGACAAGGTGAAAACCTTGCCTAACCCTCTTTGTTTTGTCTTTTCATTCATAAATCTAGTAATATGATGTATACTTCCATCTGCATCCAAGTTATTTCTAGCAAGTTTGTGATTAAAATACTTATAAGTTCTAACCCTTCGGGCATACAAGATTGATTAATTAAAAATCATTGGTCTCAAGGTAGAAAAAAGAACTTTATGTGGACTTAACTCATCCGCGACATTCCTTGATAACAAGAAGTTCGAAGTTACTTGGGGTGCAAGTAATCAGCCTATTTCTCAATTTTACTTCTGTTATATTATGATTGTCATAGAACGTTTGAGTATAGAATTAACTCTGATGGGAAGCCTCAAGGTCTATACCTAAAGCCTTACAAAGGCACCCATCTAGGTTCGTTCTGCTTTCCGGGCTCGGACGATTAAAGGGTAACGGTTGTAAAACTTCTGCAACAATGAAACAACCACTATATGTTCGAGTACTTGGTTAGTTTTGATGTGAAGCCTCAAGGCCTACACCTAATACCCTACAAAGGCACATTTCATAGCTAACTCGGTCTCTCAGGCATATACAATCAAAACTAAACATCTGTTTTACATCTATCATGCTAAAGATGACAGTGGCATGCCTGAACACCTAAAGTTAGTTTTGATTGGAAGCCTCAAGGCATACACCTAAGGCCCCACAAAGGCACCTTTCAGAATTAACTTTGTCCTTCTCTTACAGCCCGCCAATAAGCAGAAGCTCGACAAACAATATCAACCAGCGCCAACCTCTCGGGGAGCTGTGTGCTCGTCGGCCAGGAAACGTCCCCATCGGAAATTCCTCAAGACCAACAGAGACCATAGTGGGCATCGACCCATGTGCCGAATTTTGCCTGCTGACGTGGAGGTAGCTGTCAGAATTGTCAAGAATAGGAAACCCAATGATGCCGATTCCACTCTAGTGACCACTGCTCCACCCAAGTTTTATGTTGCAACCCTGCCTCTGATTCCTCGCTCAACTGTGATGCCATTTATCACGATACAGGCTGCTATTTCGAAGAACATGGTGCAAAGTCTTTTAGTGTCGACTTTCCAGATCGGGTATTCGATTAACAGTGACACCATCGATGCCATCTATGATATGGGTAAATTGTGGATGGTGTATAGACCAATTGAATAGTTGGTATGCAATGTCATTTGGTTTGATTACTGTTTGAAATTCTAGGATAGGGGGAATGTGGAGAGAGAGAGAGAGAGAGAAAGAAAGAAAGAAAGAGAGAAAGAGAGAAAGAGAGAAAGAGAGATAGAGCGTGGTGGGAGAAAAGAGAAAGACAGTGGGCGAGGGATTTAGGTTTTTGTACAGACAAAAAAATGGCTTCCGTCGATGACGGGGTTGAGAGCACAGAGAGAGAGAGAGGAAATGGGGCTAGAGATTGAATTATGGTGGGGTTTCTATGATAAGTGATGAGATTCGAGGCAATATGGATGGAACACGTGGTCAGATTTGGGAAGCCGACGACGGAGTAGGTGAGGGAGGGAAGAGGGAGAGAGACATGAGGAGAGAGATAGGGTTTATTAATAAATTTTAATTGTTAAATAAAAAATTAATACAGTTGGTGAAGAGTGGATTTTGCAGCTGCCATGTCATCATTTAATAGCGAAATTGACAAAATATTTAACGGAGATTTGACATTGTAACGAATTCATAAGTTGAGGTATGACATTGCAATGTTTAAAATATGATGTATGAGATTGTGGTTTGACCCATAATTAAGGTAGTTTTGTATAATTTACACTAAATTTAATCTATACTAAAACTGAAAACAAGTTGAAACACTGTTCATAAACACAGTGTTCTTCCTGTTGTACACCTACTTAGTTTCTTTTAATTTAATTTTGCCACTGTCTGAGAAATAGAGGTTTTGGTTCTGTTATTTCATCGCATCTCAATTTTTGGTTTATTCCGTCGCATCCCTTTCAACCCCAACGAACGATCGATTGAATTTTATTGAAGCAGCAAGTCGAAGGGAAGTCGCAGGTTCAACGCCGGCTTCCTCTTCACCGTGACCATTAATTCAAAGGAAAACTAACGAAAAGTCCAAAAAAACTTCTCTTTTAATGAAAAGCCATTTTTAAATGTATAGTGAATAGTGCCAGTTAAAGGTAAAAATGTGGTTTTTCGTTAAAAGTGAACAATACCAGGAGTGTTTTATTAAAACTCCTTAATTCAATCTAGCCGTCTCCCCTTTCCCCTCCACTTTCACCACAACATCTTGGGTAAGCTTTGAAATCTTTATAGATGAATAGCTCTAAAGATGTCTGTTGTTGTGTTGTTACAAAATTTAGCCCTTTGGGGTTTCCTCTGTTTCTCTTTCTATTGGTCTAATTTGGGGTGAAATTGTTGAATTTTTGTTGAATTAGAATGTGAGTTTAATTGTAATAATTTGATACACAATGACTGGAAACAATTTTTTTTTTAATTTTTTTTTAGTTTTTTTTATGGTTGTCACTTTGGGGTTTTAGGGTGCGTTTGTTTGCACTCACTAGCATTCAGTAGATTAGATTGGACTAAGTGGTAGTCTAGTCCTGTGTTTGATACAAACCGGGACAAGCTTTAATAAGACTCGTCCCGACTAAATAGGACTAAGCACTTGGCTAAAGGGTCTTAGCGAGACCCCCCAAAATCAGCCGGACTGCTAAGCCAACTCCTCCCTGCTTCGTCCCTCCTCGTTTTGCCCCTCCCATTTACTTATCCCTTGCAAGATTCGGAACCTAGGTCCCATATATAAACTATGCCCTGCTTCACCCCTTTCATCTACCATTTCCAAATCCAAATCCCGCAAAATTCGAAGCAAAATAGGCAAAAAATTCTGCAATATTACCACTTTCAAAACCAAATTAAAATCCAAAATTGTAAACAAAAAAGCCATTTTTTTTTTTTTACAAAAAATGTTGTGCGTCTGAAACACACAGCAGTCACTTTAATCACACTGCACCTAGTCCAGACTCCCTAATTGCAGACCTTCGCCATTGACGCCAGAGAAGTAGAAATTTAATTGACATCATTGTTGTTAATCCTGTCGGTTATATCCGACAAGAATTCTTAAACAAATTTTTTAATCCAACGGCTAGCTGACGTTAGCTAGCCGTTATTTTTGAATTTTTTTTACATTTTTTTTTACAAAATCTTTTTCCTTTAAATTCTATTTTTTTTTCTATAACTTCCTTTAACTTCTATTTTACAAAATTCGTTTCATATTTTTTTGTAAATTCTATTTTTTTTCCTATAACTTCTATTTTACAAAATTTGTTTCATATTTTTTTTAAATTTTATTTTTTTCCTATTACTTCTATTTTACAAAATTTGTTTCATATATTTTTTAAATTCTATTTTTTTCCTATAACTTCCTAAGTCATTATACAACATTAAATTAAATTAAGTAACATGAAACAACATTTAAATTTAATTTGTAGTTTTTAAATTTAAGTTGTTTTTAAACATAAGTTGTAGTTTTCCAATTTAAGTTGTTGTAGTTTTCAAATTTAAGTTGTTGTAGTTTTTAAATTTAAATAATGAATTATGTTTGGCCCTATGACCCTTTGGCCCTCGGTTGGAGA